GGGGGGGGGGGGGGGGGAGAGTAATTTTGAAAAATCTGTCTATTTTTATAGCTATAGCAGTTCAAAACTTTTCGTATTTGCTGCTGCTAAAAGAATGCTGTGGCCTCACTCCTGACAGTAGATTTTGAACCTGATCTGTTGGCTAGATTTGAGGGATTTGGAAGTAGTTTCCATTAAGAGAAATAACTTGTGACAAGAGCCATTTTTTTTCTGATGGAGCCTTATACTTCCAGCACTTTTACTTTTTTACCCTAATTCCTGCTTGCTTCTTGTCTTGAAGACCTCATATTTATGACCAGGCTTGAGCAACAGAAAGATAGGATTGAGAAATAGCTGTTGCTATTTTGCTGCAGGTTGAGATGATATCTGTGTGGATGGGACTGCTGCCAGCCCTCAGTGGGAGAGGAAGTGTTTGAAGCCAAGAAGTCACTTTCTTTGGTAGACATTTCTGTTCAATATTATTTTACTGGCATTATAATTTCTTAGTTTGACTTGTATTTGTTGAGCCATTTTTTTTACTGTTACACCCTGGTACATGCAGCTGAAAGGCAAGCCTTATGGGTTTTTTTTAGTACACATGAGCAATATATTACTTCCTAAAATACCTTCCTGCTATGGAAATGATGTCATATCCAGGCTGTTTAACATAATTATATGTTGGATATGTAGGATTTGGGAATTTCTTAAATTATGAAATTATGTACTTGAAAATGAGAGGTGGGGGGAGACAGTGATTACCTGAAGGAAACTGGGGAAGTGGGAAGGAAGTGAATCCATGGCTGAGGACATAAATGGTGTATGTCACAGCCTCAGTGCCCAGCACAGGGTGCCCTGGGGCAAGGCAGATGCACACAGCCTGTCTCTGACATGCTCACCCTTCCCAGCAGCCACATACGCAAGAGATCCTCCATCTGGCTGGGCAAACACTGCTCAGATTTCTATTTTCATGGATCAGGTTGTGGCTGAAGAGTTCCTTGCTGGCCACTCCATAGGTGCAGAAGGTACTGCACACATCTGTTGTGCCTATCGCCATCTAACTGCTGGTGACAAGCTAGCTAAGCTAGCACCAAGCTAGCTAAGCAAAAATGCCCTGTGCTACCATCAGGAAACTCCCACAAGGGAGCATGGGGGTAAAAGTACAAAGACCTCACATTTTAAATATTTTTTTTTTCTGAACAGTTTTATTTCAGAAAATGATGTAAACTTTTTTTTGTTTTTGAAGTATCATAATTTCCAACATAATGGAAATTCAATGTGTTCGCCACGTTTTTTTCCACATTTCCATCTGATGTGTGGACACTTTCTCTTCCTGATCCCAGACACACAAGCCTGGCTAGTTATCCCTGTGTGTGTTTAGATTACCTTCTTGAACACAAGTAGCAGCTGAATGCTGGTGATGACCTCCACATACCACTTGAAAGAAGTGTGTGTATTGTTGTCAGGAGCGCCTGAGGTTGGCTGGTGACTGGCAATTTATAAAACAGCTCTGAGAGACTGTAGCATTTGTTGCCTTTGATACTTCTCAGCTTCCCCCAGAGATCAAAAGACCTGTTGGCAAAGCATAGGAGTATGTCTGCATTATTGGAAAAAAAGATCTAGTCCTTTTGATCCAATAGGCCTTGATGATGGTATTAATTTGGGTAGCTGCTGACTAGACATCCCTGTTGTCTTGCCATCTTCATTTCATCGTACAAGCATCTCCTGCTTTCTCCAATATCAGACCCTGAGTCTTTTACCCTTCTTATCAATTTCCAACCATTTCCAAATTCACCCTTAAATGCTTATTTGTAAGCTTATATCTTTCTTATAGACTCTAGAAGAGTCTACCCGATGTCAGATGCCTCCCTTGCTTTCTCCTACTCCTCATCTTTCGAGATCCCATGAGATGTCATAAACAAATGTCTTAAGACATCATTTGCATCTACTCTGGTCCACAAATGCTAAAATACCAGAATTTTAACCATGTTATGATTTGGGGGATTCTCAGCTTATCTGAGTTAAGGTTGTTCAGATACTTTAGTCTTGCCTGTTTGTACCTTATTAACATGTTTAACTTTCTTTGGAGTGTAGGTTGCATTTCCTGAGTTAATGAATGGTCATTATAACAGTGCTTTTTTACTCCTTTATTTTAGTAGTGCTCCAGTTTAACTCTGCCATTCTTCACTCTCAAATTTAGTATACTGTTACTTATTGTCCCTACACTTTGAAATGTAGTGTTTGAGGAAAAATTGAAAAGAAGCATGTGGAAGTACTTCAGTCAAGTTCAGTGTGCACGCAAAATCTGAGCAAAAGGAAGACATCACTTCAATAACTCATGGCATGCTGCTGCAGTAAAATGAACCTGCCTGTAGTGGTTTGAGCCCAGCGGACAACCGAGCACCATTCAGCTGCTCACTGACCCATTCCCCCCTCAGGAATGGGAAGGAGAAAATAAAGCAAAAGGCTCAGAAATGGAGATAAGGACAAGGAGGGGTGGCTCACCCATTACAGTCATGAGCAAAATACAGACTCATTAGGGGAAGAAAAAGAACATCAATTTAATTCAGACACTAATAACAACATTTAATAGACAGAATAGGCCAGTTAGAAGCATTAACACATCTTAAAAACACATTCCCTTACCCCTCCCTTCTTCCCAGGCTTAGTTTTGCTCCTGATTTCACTGCCTGCTCAACTCCCAGTGGTGCAGGTGGCAGGTAGTGGGGGGTGCAGTCAATCCCACTGCTTATTCCTCCTCAGCAGGAGGACTCCTCACATTCTTCCC